TATATGTGTGTGTGTATGTGTGTGTGTGTGTGTGTGTGTGTGTGTGTGTGTATACAAAAATAAACTACTACTTACTAATTGTTATACTATCCCGTGATAAACGAGGGACTATTGTATACAATTGGGGTGGCCATCTGGAATTTTGGCCTGCAGCCACACATTAAAATGGTAGTTGGCCTTTGCTTATTTTGCAAGTTACCCAGCTCACAAGGTTAACATATATACATATATGGAGGCAGCCATCTTGGATTTTGACGTGGCAACCCAATTTCGAAAGGAACTTTATTTTGCACCGAGATGTTGCGACATATATAAATGAAAGTTATTACCTTACTTAATTTTAAAGTTGTGCTCACAACATGCACGGACAGACAGAGGATATTTCCAGTTCCCCCTCTTAGCTTTGGGATGTGGGACAATAACAAGGAAATAATTGTATTGTGGTCACTCCTCTCTGATAAGCTGTGTAAAACAGTATAGTGACAAAAAAATAAAAAATAAACAAAGGAGATTGATTTGGCTGTGAGAAGAACTCAACATTTTTATTTTTTAGATCTCAGAATATTGTTAGTTATATCAGAAGCAAAAGGACTGGTTCAATCGCTTTTATTCATAAAACTTTATAAATATCCTCTCATTGTTATAAAAAAAATAGGTCTAATTAAAATACTCGTTGATGGGTTATCTGTGTTGAGAATGTGTGTTTAGTTGACAAGACAAAAAAGCATCAAAATACAAGTTCTGTGTTTAGAACCATGCCATATTTTGTGAAACAAAATCTCACATGTTCTAATTTGGCACACCTCCTCCCAGCCGTCTAGCCTCAGAAAATAATGAGCACTGATGATTGTATGGTTTTCACCTGAGGGGTTGAGCAGCCGCCAGGTGATCATGGGGTCTGGTCTACCGCTTGCCAAACAGCTGAGTGTTACGTTGCTGCCCTCATTCACAGTGATGTCTTCTGACACCTTGTAGATATTGGCTGGAACTGTGGACACAAGAAATTTAAGGTTAAGATAGCACAGAGGGCAAAGTAGCCAAAGTTCCAGAAAGGTTTCACAAACTTCTGTGAACACAAAAACATCCTCACTAAACCAAATGATGGAGGAAATGACAGTGAAAACTTCTAGTTGATCACAAATATAAAAAATTTAATCGTAAAACATTGGGAGTCAAGACTTACAAGGGTTCCCATGATGACCCACACCTGTATTTGTCAACACTTTTAACACAGGCAGGCAGAAACACAACTTGAAAGGAAGCCTCAACAAGCAGTATACTGATGTTCTCTGTCATTGAAGGATGTGTATGATGAATATTTGTAGTTTTCTAGATGTGTTTTCTGGACTGGAAATTAACAAGGAATGCAAGTAAACAGTGGTTTTGGTGCAAGATACTCAAGTGGGTAGGAGGTACACTGTATAGAAAAACAGAATCAGGATTTTTAAAAATGTATTTATCATGCTTGTCTGAGGACAGACAGAGTAATGGGTCCTGGCAATTAGTGGGTACTATTTTATCCACCACCAAGTGCAAAGATGGATCAATATTTGGCCACCCCAATAATTCAAGGACACTATACTTTTAAACAATATTAAAACTAGGCAGCTGTTCTCAAATGATGGGGTGCTTGCATCACATGCATATGTAGTGGCAGCCCTCTTGAATATTGACATGGCAACCCATCCATCCATCCATCCATTTTCTTTACCCGCTTATTCCATTTTGGGTGACGGGGGTCGCTGGTGCCCATGTCCAGCAATCACTGTGCGAGGGGCGGGGTACACCCTGGACGGGTCGCAAGTCCATCACAGGGCCACATAGAGACAAACGAGACAAACAAACATTCACTCTCTCATTCACACCTAGGGACAATTTAGAGTTACCAGTCAGCCTAACATGCATGTTTTTGGACTGTGGGAGGAAACCGAAGTACCCGGAGAAAACCCACGCATGCACGGAGAGAACATGCAAACTCCACCCAGAAAGGCCCCAGGACCGGGGTTTGAACCAAGGACCTGCTCGCTGAGAGGCAGCAGCTCTACATGGCAACCCAATTTCCAAAAAAAAACAAACAACCTTTTCTACACTTAGATGCAGATGTGGACAGTACTGAAAATTTGTAGTCAAGTACATGTACTGTTACACTGCTTAAATTGTACTGCTTAAAAAGTACAAAATGCTCTTCTCAAAAACTACTCAAGAGTCTTAATTACTTTTTAACCAACTGATGTTTTATTGATTTGTCAATAGAAGGCATTCAATTCAATTTATTGTATATAATAGTTACATTCAAAGCACATTTCTCAGACGCTCAGAAGCTCTGTCTTATTTAGTACCAGGCAAACCGATGGCAGGGACAGTATGTAAGATTTTTGCATACTTAGCCAAACTAATAACCCGCACATACAAGCAATAAAAAAGCAATATCATACAGGTAGCTGTAAAACCTCATATACCGCAATATGTTTTTTTAGATTAAATGCTTAAGTCTTGTAAGCAGCTACCACTGGAGAGATCAAACAAAGTCTGCAATGCATCTGGACGTTGTCTCCTTTTCACCCTCTGTACATGAAACATTCCTCCAGGTATGGCCACTGGCACTCGTCCTCAGCCTTTACCTCGTCATTTTCTCTGTTGACAGTGTCCTCTGTCTCATTTTGGCTTTTTCTCCAAATCTTCGGTCCATAAACGACTCTCTACTCTACAGTCATTTGCTTACATCATAGGTAATTGGCGCGTTCGCGATCTGAGAGCCTTATTGGCTACAAAGATGCAGATGAACGGTTTGAATATTAATTCAAATTGCGGCCGTACCCTCTTTTTTTTTTTTTTCCATTTACCATTTATTTATACAGGTAATCTCATTGAGTCACGAGAACTCATTTTCAAGAGAGACCTATTTTTTGGGAGCAAATGGTGGGGGTAAGGGCCTTGCTCAAGGACCCAGAATGGGGCAAATGAGGGTGGAGGCAGGTGTCGGTGTTTCACCTTTTCCACCAAGATTTTGATGTTGACACTGCCGGTAGTTGACTCTGCAACTTTCCGACCACAGGCCCATTTTCTCTAACCTCTGCACCACCACTCCCGACTCAGTAGCAATTTCTGATTTTAAAATTAGCTAAGTAGATTACATGGTCTAAATTGTACTTAAGTACGAGTAAAATTACACACTTGAAAGAAATACTCATAAAAGTACAAGTACCCCCAAAAAATACTTAATTACAGTAATGTATTTGTAATTCGTTATTTCCACACCTGCTTAGATGCAGCCACATACCAAAATGGAAGTCGATACCTTACTCATTTTTCAAGTTATCATGCTCATAACATGGATGGATACCATACCATTTTATTTATGGAGCACTTAAAACATCTACAAGGCCAACCAAAGTGCTGTACAGACAGAACAACAGACAACACACAAAACAATATACAAAATGAAGTAAATCAAAAATATAGACATAAAAACGCTGCAGATAATAAATATGATGACAAACCAGTGTGGAGCGTACAGGATCAAAACACAGAGCCTCTGGTGTTGAAAGCTACTGAATAGTAGTGAGTTTTTAAATGAGATTTGAAAACCGAGAAGGAGGGGGGCCTGTCTGACAAGCAGAGGTAACTCGTTCCAGAGTCTTGGTCCTGCTACAGAGAAGGTCCTGTCACCTCTGCGCTTAAGATGAGTTCCTGGAACTGTGAGGAGCAACTGGTCCGCTGACCTCAGGGAACGTGGTGGGACATACGGTTGTAGCAGATCAGAGAGATGTGTGTGTGTGTGGGGGGGGGGGGGGGTGAAACTGTTCAGCGATTTGTAGACATACAGGAGTATTTTGAACTGGATTTGAAGGTGACCCGGTAGCCAGTGCAGTGTAGATGAACAGATGCTCAGATATATTCATCAATTAACACGGATTCCTCATTTTTCTGGACTGAATAAAACGTACATTGAATTTAAGGAAATGCAAACGTGAGACGTCATTTATATTTGACCCATCAAAATGAATGCGGTCATTTATTTACAGAATCAAAGTTTAACATCAAACATTTACATTAATTTGGCAAATTATGAAAATAACAACATAAGCAATCAATCAGGAAAAATCATACGGCCATGATTTTTCCGTTGCTTCACCACAGACATTTATGAAACTGTACACCTATGATCTTTTACCCACACGGATGTGGATGAGCATTTTACACAGACATTTCTAAATATCTGGAAGAATATCTACTTGATAGAAAGTTTAAAGATGGGAAAGAAGTTTAGAGGGAGTAAAGATGGTATGGGAGGGGAAGTGTTCACCAGAACCGACACTCTCCGTCAGAACCCAGCTCTCCCCGGTACGCTTGGTAGGAAACTTGACTCGTTACCTTTCTGAAGTTAATCAGCAGATATGGAGCTCCGTTAACGCTACCTGTCCAGCGTCTCCTTAGGATGCTGTGAATCGTCAGAAGTAGTGGCGAGTGAAAATGTTATAATCCCATGGAACTCGGAAGAGCTCTGTTGTCATGTCAGGATCATCCCGTCTCTCACAGAACTGGGCTTCTCCGCACAGATCTCGAGCAGAGGCTTCCCAGAACTTCTCCAGAGCTTCTACAGAACTTCTAACAGAGCTTCTAACAGAACTGAGTAGACCAGGAAGTACCGACAATTTAAAGAGCTCTTTTTCCCGGTTCATACGGGAGTCTCCCATTGGCCAGAAACAACCAGACGGGGTGTGTTTTGTGACGTAAGAGGTTAGAAGACAGCAAGAATTGTTATGAAACGATCAGAAATGTTCTCACAGACAGAGAGAGTTTTGTTTTGGCGCGTTTCAGAAACAGGTGCCAAAAACCTCTATATTTACGTCTGAGAGGATTCTAAAAACATGATAGTTCGTTCCAACAACTTGTTTTGCATTTGACTCCAACCTTGGACCAACTTACACTTGCTCATTCAAAGGCAGAAATCAGAAAATGCATAAAAATCTGTAACAGACCTCAACATGAATTCTAACTTTGCATGAGAAAAATCATTACACAGTTAATAAAATTGATTAGTTCACTGCAACATCTAAAATGGTTTGAACTAAGACATTTTGATTATCAACATTTGTAAAACAGTAATGATAATAAAAAAGAGAGTGTTCTTTCACATGAATCTTCAAGAGAGAAAGTCTCAGGATGGGTGAACCTGTATTTCTGGATTCAAATCAATAAAATGACAGTTCCTGTCCCACAAGGTTCTTAAGGTCAAGGGATTTGACCTTAGACTTAGTTTTTGACATGGGCCTAGTCCACTACAGCAGTGAGGCCAAAATTTGTGTAACGTGCTCTCTTGTGCTTGTACTGGTTAAAAACGGGCTGGATGGATGAAGAGGGGATTTCCACATCCCCCGTTTGCTCTACGATGGGGACAATACATCATAACTGCACAAACCTATTTCTGATCTATAAGAGACAAAAGCTTGTCACTCATGTAATCTTTATGTCTCAAGAGTTTCATGTAGAAGATCTGATGTGTTAAAAAGGACATTTACTTTTAATTTTCAAGAGAAAAATCTGAGCTCAGATACGAGTTATTCAGAATTTGAACGTTTGCACTTTGTATTCCAGGGATTTTAAGGAAATCTGTAAACCCTTTACCAGTGAGACACAAGATGAGTGAAAATATACTGAAATGCCCACATTTTAATGTATTAACTGTTTAGAAAATGTAAAGCTAGTTAAAAAGGAAGTTTGTTTTGATAAACTTTGACATCTCAAAAGTTAGTCATCTGACTTTGAATCATTCTTTGAGAAAATGTACAGAATACCATCCATCCATCCAGCCAGCCATCCTTTTACCACTGGTTGATCCACTCTGAGAAGGTGCTATTTATAAAACTGAACTGAATACAGCACCTCAGACTGAGGAAGTCTTTCAGATGAAAGACGAAATGTTTCTACATTTTTGTTGTTGTTGTTTTGCTTTGTTTTGTTTTTTGAATGTCCAGAGGACCAGAT